ATTAATTACTCACCCTCATGTCGTTCCAAACCTGTAAGACCTTCGTTCATCTTCAGAACACAGATTAAGATATTTTTGATGGAATCTGAGAGCTGTCTGACCCTGCATAGACATAGACAACTGAAATGTTCCCAAGTCGGCGTGACGCAGCTGACACAGACCAGCATACGCTGTTTACATCCAGCGGATATTCTCCAAAATGGCACCAGGGTGATGCGGAGGAGACGAATTGTTGAATAAAGTTGTTGTTTTTTTCTTTTGCGCACAAAAAGTATTCTCGTAGCTTCATAAAATTACGGTTGAACCCCTGATGTCACATGGATTATTTTACCGATCTCCTTGCTACGTCTCTGGACTTGGGAACATTTCAGTTGCGTTGCTGTCTATGCAGGGTCAGACAGCTCTCAGATTCCATCAAAAATATCTTAATCTGTGTTCTGAAGATGAACGAAGGTCTTACGGGTTTGAAACGACATGAGGGTGAGTAATTAATGACATAATTTTCATTTTTGGGTGAACTAGCCCTTTAAACTGAAAGGCTATAAAGTACATGCTGTTCCCTTTAGCGAGCTAATCCGGCTGGCCTTTTCTGCCTCCCTGGAATTTAAATCATTTTGGAGACTGCCTTTGCTTACACACATATACGCAGACACACACTCTGACTGCTCGCAGCACTTAGCCTGGATGTCGGCAGAATACTCCACAGCGCTCATCACCAAGGGCAGCGGCCCATATAATTGGCTGTTGTCTCCGCTGGTTGTGGGCGGCACAAACTTTATTGCTGTCTGGCCTGTTTTAAAATATTTTATTTGTTAGAGTGGTCTTTGGCACATGTCGCAGTATGTAGCTGCAAGTGGGGTCAAGTACATTGGTCATACTTTAATTTGGGGACCAATTCTCACCATTAACTAACTATTAACTACGACTTTTGCCTCAATAAACGCCTAATTTGCTGCTTAATAATAGTTAGTAAGGTAGTTGTTGAGTTTTGGTATGGGGTGTGATTAAGGGATCTAAAATATGGTCATGCAGAATAAGGCATTAATATGTGCTTTTTAAGTACTAATAAACAGCCAATATGCTAGTAATATGTATGTTAATAAGCAACAAGTTAATAGTGAGAATTGTTCTCTATACTAAGTGTTATCAGTACATTTGACTTAAACAAGACACTCTAGGCAAAACCACAGTTGTTGTTTTTTCAGGAACTGGTCAATTTTGATGTTTTGGCCTATTTTGCTTTCATAACATGGCTTTATTTCAGACTAGTGGAAAGAAAACATTCAAAATACATATTTAAGTGTTTATTTTATTACACTTTATTTTTTGCTTCTGTAGATTTCAATGACAGTGCCTTATATTGAAAGGCCATTTGCTCAAAATTAGTTTTTTATACTTCTGTAGCACTTCCAGTAAACTAAACTAAAACATATCTATATTCTGAAGGTTTTTACCGAGGGGTTTGTTGATACATTATTCGCCTAATTTTGATTTTATTCCTAAAAATATGGTTATAATGAATATTTTTCTAGCTGTTGACATTATTTTCTGATTTATGGAATAATAAAAACGATTTTTAACTCTTAATATGTCAACAGAATTAAATAATTTTTAACCTTTAGTTCAGATTTTTGTTCTGGAAGTGTATGCAAATGAGTGCTTATTTAATAAGATAATGCCTCATTTCCATAATCAAACACAACTTTTCAGAAAACTTCGTCAATCATGCTGTGATTAATCAACTGGGGAAAGTGTGGTGATATCGGTTACATTTTTTGCCCCATTAGGGCTATGTCTACATTAAACCGGATACATTTAAAAACAGCTTTTTCATTTTAAAATGCTCTCCGTTCACACTAGTGTTTTCCAGACGTTTCACATCACAGTTTTAACCTTGCTGCACATGCGTAAAACCTCATAAGAGCTCACAGAGATGATACAGATGCACAATATTCTTCTGGCAGGATCATTTTATTTAGCAAAATATCTCTCCATTCAATGATGCGTCCAGGTCACACTCAATCACCATCATATGTTTGGGCTAAAAGCAACCGCCCTCATGTTTTGCCAGAGGACAGCAAGTGCCAGTAAATTTTCTGTCATCTTTGCAGGACTGTGATAAGAAGAGTGTACAAAGTACCGTATCTTAAGCAACAGTGTGAAAGTGAATAGCACATAACGGGCACAATACCGGTATAAACATAGATAACTGTCGGTACAATATGCGTCACGACTAAACCTGCGTCATCGTTTTTACAGTCTACACTACAATGCAAACTTTGGAGAACTTTTTCAAAAAGCTTCATTTTTATTGAGAAAAATGCAGGCTTAGTGTGAACGGAAGGCCAAAATGGAGAGAAAAAGATACATTTTCAAATGAAAGCGTATTAGTGTGTCGTAGACGAGGCTCACCTGTAGTGTCTTGCTTTAAACAATCTTCTAAACTATTTTGCCTGTTATTTGTTAAGCCAAGACACATGACTTAAACATATGTGCATAATTTACAATTACGGACTTCATCAGCTGTCTGTGTTTTAAGGCCACGTGCAGCACAAGACTCGATGGTTCCCTTGCATGACGTGGTGGTTTTTCCCCAAGGCATTATTAGGCAGTATGGGCTGCATGGTTTTGGAGTCTGACTGGTTTCCTTACTCTGTTTTTTTTTTTCGCTGATGATATTTGTCTTTGCCCATTATATGCTGACAAACAAGTCTTCTTTCATTTCCTGTCAACAATTTTTTGCATTGTCACATTTTTCCATTGAAAAGTGCTGAAATGCAATAAACCACGCTCAAAAACAAACCTGGCAGCTGAACACCTGATCTGCTGATGTTTCTCCCAGGATGCTTTTGAAACGGCAGCGAGAGCTGAGGGTGGCCTCTCATTGGATGGGGGCAGTGCATCTGACCCAAAAGAGTTGGAGGACGAAGTCGGGAGAAGCAAATACCACCACAGTGTTTGTGTACTCAAGCCCATCCGCTCCACCAGCAAGTACGTACTAAAGTTACTGAGCAGTGTGCCTATCATTTCAGTTAGCAAATCGTGATGGGTAACACTGTGTCCATTTTCAGATGTCTACATATTTGTGAAGGTCAGTCTCTCAAATGTCAAAGGCTCAGTAAACCTGAGATGCCAATAGAAGCATATTCTGAAACAAATGGTGACAAACAGAACAATTTGAATAGATTACAGGGTCAGCTGTTAAGTGGTTAATAACAGCCTTAAAGGAATAGTTTACTCAAAAAAAATTTTGAAAATTTTCTGAAAATGTACTCAGAATGAAGTTTATTTCTTCATGGGAACAGATTTGGGGAATTTTAGCATTATATCACTTGCTCACCAATGGATGCTCTGCAGTGAATGGGTGCCGTCAGAATGAGAGTCCAAACAGCTGATAAAAACATCACAATAATCCACAAGTAATCCACACCACTCCAGTGCATCAATTAATATCTTGTAAAGTGTAAAGCTGTGTGTTTGTAAGAAACAAATCCATACTTAAAGGGATAGTTCACCCAAAAATGAAAATTTGATGTTTATCTGCTTACCCCCAGAGCATCCAAGATGTAGGTGACTTTGTTTCTTCAGTAGAACACATTTGATGATTTTTAAGTCCAGCCGCTGCAGTCTATCAGTCGTATAATGCATGGCAATGGTAAGACTGATAGACTGCAACGGTTGGACTTAAAAATCATCAAATGTGTTCTACTGAAGAAACAAAGTCACCTACATCTTGGATGCCCTGGGGGTAAGCAGATAAACATCAAATTTTCATTTTTGGGTGAACTATCCCTTTAAGGCTTTTTTTAACTTCAAACCTTTGCTTCCAGCTAAAATAAAGAGTCCTCTATCCCATAATATTGTTTTCTCAAGTGAAAAATTCATCATGTCTGAATCAGGAGAGAAATATGCACAGATAAAGCACCTTTTACAAGTGAAAACAGTCCAAAACAGCTCAAATGTGTGGGTAGATATTGAGGTGAGAGAACAACAGGGGATGGACTTTTTCGACTGGAAGAAGCTTATTATGGATTATGGACTCGTATGTTGGCCAGAAGGAATGGTTTAAAGTTAAAATGCCTCAATACTTCATCCAAGGGGAGATGAAATATTGAGTTTGGGTTTGGAACGACTTGAGGGTGACATTTTTCATTTTTGGATGCACTATCCATTTAAAGGAGGGACATATCACAGCATAACTGGGTTGGTTGAGCAGAAGCCTCAATAGTGATTTGCGGTTAGTAAATTGACTTGAGTGTGGATCTCCATTGAGGTTTTAATGCAAATTACATGGATTCACACACCAAAATAAGACAACACTGAGGATCCATGAATTTGACAATAAACTAAGCCAGGATATTGACACAAATTGTAAGATTCGATTGGATTTCAATTCACAAGCTTGCAATTTGGAGGTACGCTATAAATAATGTTTTATAAAGTGTAGTTCATGCATCAATTGAAAACAGCCTAGACTAAAATATAGATTCTTAGGATTTAAGAATCAGTTCATCAAAATGAGAATCGATTCAAATTGAGAAATCACTGTTGTCAACCCAGCCCTAGTAAAAACATCTTTGTTGAATTTCAACAAAAGCCACATTTAAGTAAAATTGCAACCCTATAAAAATGACAGTGCGGTGATTAAGCTCAAATGACACAGTTTTACGAGACATACACTGTGTCCCTGAGAAAGGCACATGGGACTTACACAGGGTGGCCCTAATAAAATAAACCAAATTGCACTGAATTCAAATACTGCAGCTTAGAGACTAATCCACGTCTCTTGCCTCTTCTCTTGTCCTGTTTTTCATTGTGTCATCACAGGTATCAGCATCCAGTCGACAACGCTGGCCTCTTCTCCTTTATGACATTTAACTGGTTGGCCTCACTGGTGGTGTTGGCCCATAAGAAGGGTCAGCTGTTTCTGGAGGATATTTGGGCTGTGTCGCAGTTCGAGAGTTGTGAAGTCAATCGTCACCGGTCAGTACTGATATATGACTTCCTATCAAAGATCAAGCACTCATCCAGCTAAAATTTATGTAATTCAGAGCTGGCAGATGCAACCTCCTCATACAGTACTATGGTGGTACCAAATGGTGTCAAATGGTACCAGTACTATAAATACTACACTGAACGATTGATGCAGCATGGTAGTTTCATAGTACTCCAAATTACTTTAAAGAATATCATTGCATTGGATGGCTCATGTCCAAATCAAGTACTTCTTGGACCTGGAGCCAGGCCTGATGTAACTGGTAGATGCATTGCATATTAACAAGACATTATTTCCACAGGCTGGCCGGGCTGTGGGATGAAGAAGTCAGGTCACGAGGGGACGGGGCGTCTCTTCATCGTGTGGTCTGGCATTTTTGCCGCACGCGTCTGCTGCTGTCCATCCTCTGCCTTATGGTTACTCAACTCGCAGGCTTCAGTGGCCCAGTAAGTAACACCATCTCAGCTCTGTTGTGTTTTTCTTGTGTCTTTCCCCTCTATCGGTCTCTCTCGCTCTAGCGCTGTCTGTGTCTCTGTGTATTATTAGCTTTGTAGACCCACCTATCAAATCCTGCCCCCCCTCAAATGCTCAGGTGAGTGTTCAGATGGGGAATGAACGGTGTGTTACATTATTACTGGGCCTCAGAAGTTATTTGCTTTACCTCTGTGGTGTTTCCAGTGTGGCTCCCAAAACCATTTTATCAATTCATTTAACCATTAGTGCTATTTATAAAGTGCCTTAATAATGACTTGTGCCAACACCAAGAGTATTATAGCTGGTCTGCTGCTTTTCGCCAAATAGTTTGACTTTCACATCACTAAAATAGGGGGAACCTTATCAGATGTTATAGTTTAATGTTATTGAAGTATGTTATATCTGCGCTACTAACAGCACCAAATTGAATTTCAATCCATTTGAGCTGCTCAGTTGTGTCAGATGTAACAACATTAGCTCAAACATAGAGTGCATTTGTGTGCATTAGTTGGTTCCGGAAGTATTTTTTCCATTAAATTTTCCCATAGTAAAATGTAAAAAAGTCTTTGTTAAAGTGTTATAAGCCACGAACAACAAGCTATGAGGTGAATCACAACTTTGCAAACTTTAATTTGAAGCAAAAAAGTATTTGAAAATCATAAAAAAAGACAAAAGTACAAGACCGTGTACTTAACAGTATTAGTAAGGGAAAGAACTACAATCCCATGAAGGATTGCGAATGACATAATTGAAATAAAAAAATGGAGAAACATAAAACTATTCATTTAAAGTTGTTAATTATGTCTGTAGAGAAAATATATAGTAAGTTTATTGTAAAATATGCAAGATCTTTTGGTGAGATCTGCTCGCAGCAACTCTGATTGGAGGGATTTTTGTACTGCATCATGGGTAATGTAGTTTTTCACCAGGAATTCCATTTTGAAGTTGAAATAATACAAACTGATGGCTTCAACAAAATCATTTACCATCAATCAACAACCTCGTTGCCCACAGTAGGTCTCGCTTTAAAGGTTTATAAGGTATCGTTAAAAGTCAGTTCCCCTTTGGAGAAAACGAATGGAGTTTTTACGTCCGCAACCCGACTGCTGCACTCTATTGCCATTAGTTCGAGGCAGGACTACCAGCGGTCAGTATTTTTCAGTTCTGTTTGGTGCTGCCAGTTGTGCAGAAGTGACACACTTCACCTTTAAGCAAGCCTATTAGTTAAGGCCAAACGTTATTAATCATAAATATCCTGTAGTTTTAATGAAGCTAAAGATAAATGACTCAAAGCTTAGTCATCAGTTTTTGTTCCAAGAACAGAAAAACAGAAACCAATTTATTACACCTGTTCAAAAACTGCTGCTCTATGATTGTGCAAGTTTCTGTTTGTCTCTTGCTTTCCAGGTACCAGGTGTTTTATATCTGTGGTGTTATTATCGGGTAGATAATAAGGGAAGTATTCTGTTCTTACGGTCCACTATGAAATGCTAGATTTGGGATACAACTTAAGGTTAGGGGCATTGCATGTAGCACAAACATAGTCTAAAGAGAAGTCTCCTTAGATCAGGAGGATAGGCTAACATTTTCTTCAAGGAGAGCTTCTGTCACTGTCCCACCATGGGCGACACAGCAAGGCTCTGTCTCCTTCAACTTTTTGGAGAAAATCGGGCTTATCAAAAGATTCTGTTTAATCATCAACTGCCTTTCTCTCCCTGTTGTCTATATTTAGCAGCTCCCTGTAGAGCATCTCCTTGAAGAGATACCTGTCCTTGCTCTGATGACTGAGGTCAGGGGTGGTTTTAATAAAATCTAGCAGCTGTGTTCAACCACATGGGTTTGCCCTTGTTCCCAGTTTATGTCTGCATATCCTTGACTGAGTATGTGCATGATATTTGAGAACGGTGTGCGTGTGTGCGACTGTGTGCTTGTATGACTTTCTTGAACTGTCGAGCTGGTAAAGTGTTCTGTGTTTTGTGCTTCCGCACACTCTGCTACTATTGTAATTGATATTAATTTTCAGGTGTTAAAACAAAAGTACGTATCCATCCTGTACCCCAACCTGATGTGACTAGGTAAAAAGTCTTTGAATCCACAAACAAGGGACATTATGTCCATGATTGTCACATTGCTATGTCTCTCGCACAGACTTTCATTGTCTCTCTTGTTCTTTTCCGAAGGCTAGAGAAAAGGGCCACATAAGGTAATAAACTATTAGGACACAGGTTGACATTCTCTCTCAGTAGACGTTGCCGCTCCCTCACTGTCTCCAATGATTAGAAGCCGTGCGTTTTATGATGACGTCCCACACATAGCATACAATGATCTGCATCTCTACCTTTTTCTGCCCAACGATGTAAACTTGTCAGATGTTTTATGATGAGGAAGGTCGTGAAGTGTGCTGGTGCGCGGCTGTGTTTGTATCCTCAGTCACGCCTGCTGTGTCCTGTCGCCCCCTTGCTCGTCCTCCCTCTCCGCAGGCGTTTGTGGTGAGGCGGTTGCTGGAGTATATGCAGATGAGCGAACCCGACCTGCCCTACGGCTTGCTGCTGGTGCTGGGCCTCTTGGCCACCGAGCTGATTCGCTCCTGGTCCCTCGCCCTCACCTGGGCGCTCAACTACCGCACTGGCACCCGCCTGCGTGGAGCCATCCTGACCTTGGCCTTCCACAAGATACTGCGTCTGCGCAGCCTTCGGGAGAAGACCATGGGAGAGGTACGGTGTTGAGGGACGGGTGAGGAGTTTTGGATTAATGAATTGGCCATTTAGGAAGGTTAGGAGCAGATATCCTAGGGTGTTGAATGATGAAGAGATGAAGAGTGAAGGAAAATATCTAAAGAAGGTGATGCCCGCATATATTTCATGGTAGTCTACGGTATATCTCACACGTCTTGCCGACGTACGTGTTGCTTTTCTCTTTAGCTGATCAATATGTGTTCGAGTGACGGGCAGCGCATGTTTGAAGCCGCTGCCATGGGCAGCCTGTTGGCTGGAGGCCCCCTGGTGGCCGTGCTGGGAATGGCATACAACTTATCCGTATTGGGGCCGACGTCTCTGCTAGGCTCTGCCGTATTCATCCTCTTCTACCCCACTATGGTGAGCTTTCCGTTCATGCTTCATGTTGCTTTTCCAATGGGAGTTTCCGTTGTAACTCCGATGTTTCTCCTGTAGATGTTTAGCTCCAGACTGACGGCGTACTTCAGGAGGAAGGGAGTAGCCATGACTGACCAGCGTGTTCAAAAGATGAATGAGATTCTGAACTACATCAAGTTCATTAAGATGTATGCCTGGGTGAAGGCCTTCTCTCAAGCTGTGCGAAGTAAGTTGTTTTTTTTAGCTTGCGTGTTTGGCTCAGTGTTGTTATTTAGTATCAATGTCTGATCTACTAATGTAGTTTTTGTTAATATTTTGAATTAGATTTTATTTTTATATGTTATCTATTTTAATTTTAGTTAAAGTTGTAGTAATTTTTGTCGTTTTTAATTTTTTTACTGTCTATGTCCAAGTTTTAGTTTAGTTTTATTTAATTTGAGTCAACTTAAACTAAATGGAAATGACAAAATGAAATAAAATATATAACTGAAACTGAAATATATATATATATATATATATATAGAGAGAGAGAGAGATTTATTAACATATTAAAATATTTAATTAATATTTTGAATTAGTTTTTATTTTTATATTTTCCATTTTTCCATTAATTTTAGTTCAGGTTTTAGCTG